TTTTTTCTCAACCCTACAAAGCACCATTGACACTGCTTGTTTTTTCAATTTTCTTCTGTCCTGCTCAGTTGTGCCTGTAGAAGCCATTAAGTGTCATGAATGGCAGTTTGGAAACAAGGATCCAGAGCTCACCAGGCAAACTTACATTATTGACTGGGGATCATTAACTTCAATGATGGTCTTATATTATGTTTATGACAGAGCTGATGATCGTTTATTTTACATTAGGGCAGATACCTTTCTTTTCCAGCCGGACAGAAATGAAGATGACTGCGTCAGACATTAAGGCATATGAATTAAATTACATCAATGACCTTGTCATTTCTTTCCTTGTCTTTTTCATAATGTTCCTACAAAAGTGGAAACTGACATGAGTTGGGCAGCAGTCAACATAGATGAACGTTATGCATATTTTTATTGTTTTCATGCCAGCAGATCTGCTGAATTTTTCAGTGTCGAACTATGAACTTTTTTTTTGGCCTCTCCATTGAAAGTAAATCATTCAAGGTTATCCAATGAACAAAAGGTTTGGATTCACTAAGTAATTAGGACACATTAGACAAATGGAGTTCTACCAATGCTGTCCCCAGTTTTTTAGGTGATCGCACTGTTCATTAATGAGAACATCACTCTCCAATTACCCTTAGTTGACTGTGTTGTAAGCTCAATAAACATTGCTTCATTGTATCTCATGCTAAGTTTTATACAGCAGTAAATACTATTTCTCTGGAGAGAGAGGAAAAGGCTGAAGGAAAGCTGACTGCTCAGTGGTTATGAAGAAATATGCACTCTCAGATTTTCCTCTTTGGCATATCCTGCATCTTATGAGAAAGTACTGACATAACAAGTAATCAAAATCAACACTTCCCAGAAATGTGGCCAAACATTTATAAGTGAAAAATACATAATACACGTATTCAACTTATACATTCAAATACATAGATTGTTGTTATTATTAATAGTATTATACAGGATTTATATAGTGCCAACAGTTTATGCAGCGCTCTACAATACAAAGGGAGACAGTTCAGTTACAATACAATGTAGGATGGGGGTTTGGGGGGCCCTGCTAATGAGAGTTAAAAACCCAAAAGGGAGGTGCAAAAGAAACAAAAGGTAGCAACTGTGTTGAGTTGATGGAAAATGTAAAAGTTCAGTGGTTAGGTAGGCTACCCTATATCACTTATAACACTTGTGAACAGTGGCATCACATGTTGCGTTTATGTGCATTTTTGCACCATTGTCGTACATAAGTGAGTTCATTCATTTCAGTGGCCTGTCCTATACACAACAAATGCAGAAAAGAAGCCCATGAACCCTTTTGAGCCTTGTGCATTGTTTAACTGTGTGGCTTTACACGTGTGTCTTGCTTGGTGCATTTGGGGTAACATTAACAATGAATGTCACTGCAAGCATGACATGTGCTCTATGTGTGATGTGTGCAAAATTGTGTGAATTAGGGTTTAAGGTGTACAGAGTAGAAGATAGCCAGAGAGATTTTGGAGGGAAGTTCCAGACGACTCTAGAGAAGTCCTGGAGGTGAGGATGGAAGGAGGTGACGAGTAATCATGGTGCGAACACACCTGAGTTCGGTTCGAGTTAGAACTGTAGAACATGGAAAAAGTTTGTACTCGAACTTCAAACTCAATGAAAGTCTATGGCAGGGATGTCCAAACTCCGGCCCTCCAGCTGTGGTGAGACTACAAATCCCATGAAGCATCTCTCTCAGGGAGTCATGTCTGTGGCTGTGAGAATCTTGCAAAGCCTCATGGGATTCGTAGTTCCACCTCAGCTGGAGGGCCGCTGTTTGGACATCTCTGGTCTATGGGACCAGAACTCGGAAAATCAAATGTCCCCTTTTTGAATGGCAAGTTATTTCCATAAAAAGGGTATGGGAATTCAGGTACTGCCCTGTGCTACATGTACCAATGAAAAAAAAAACACTTTTAAAAAATACCGTTTTTAAAGGAGCAGTGGTTTTAACATTGCTTTAAGTGAAACAATAAAAATATAGTGTCTGGGGGGTCCCCTTAAACTGCCTGTAAAGTGGCGCATCTGTACGATGTATAGAACCTGCTGCAGCAAAATGACATTTATAAGGGGAAAAAAAGCACGCGGTTCCCCCTCCCAAGCAATACCAGACCTTTTGGGTCAGTAGGAATGTTAGGAGGGACCCCATTTAAATAAACGTTTTTTAAAAAGTGTGGGGTTCCCCCCAAAATAATACCATGTCCTTAAGGTCTGGTAGGAATTTTAGGAGGGACCACAAGTTAAAATTATTTTTAAAAAGTGTGTGGGGTTCCCTCATAAAGTCATACCAGGCCCTTAAAGGAGAACTATGAGGTGAGTGCTTTTCACTCACCTCATAGTTCTAGCCGACCTGTGACAATGAGACTCAAATTGCAGTGACATCATCACTGTGCTGTACATATCTTGTGCAGAGACCAGAACTGTGGGGTGGACCAAGCAGGTCCATTTAATTTTAACATTCGATTTTGGAAATTCATTGTTAGAATATTGTTCATGCTCCATCGACTTTTTTTGTCACTATGGTTGAAATTGATCATTGATTTGGCACCATTAAAGCTGTAGTAACGTGCCAATCAAAAATGGAGATTTTGGGCCCCCAGGAGGTCTTTCCCATATGAGCAGATGAGCATGAAGGGCAGCGCAGTGGCATAGTGGTTATCACTTAGCCTTGTAACACTGGGGGTCTCTGGTTCAAATCTTGGCCAGGTCACTATCTGCAAGCAGCATCTTCATCCTCTTGATTGGTCGAACCAGGATGATGTAACTCCTGTGAATGCGCACAGGAGTTATTTAATCTCGGCACATGTGCAGCTCGGTGAACACATTTGCTGAAAGGTGGGAGAAGTGGCCATGACAGGAGGGACATACAAAGTCTCCTTTGTCATAAAAAACAGTTCTTCTGGTGTATGGCCAGCTTAAGACACATGCCTCATGCATTTTAGTGACTAGATTTCTATATTTTTTAAAGCCTGGGTATGCACTGTTAGATTTCTTTATAAAGGCTAAATAAACAAAAAAAATCTAAAAGCCCTCCATCCACACTAAACAGCGTGATTTTCAGAGCGGGTGACACCAAAATGACTATGTCATTTTAGTGTCATCACTCTAATGGTGTCACCCGGGTAAGGGCCACACACCCTGCACCCCCCTTTTGACGCCACTGTGTATAGAACATGATGATTTACCTTAGACTGCTGCAGCTGAGGGGAAGAGAGGCTCCAGGGATCGGTCTGAGAGCATGTCGGCTCTGAGGTTCGGGTGCATATAACTTTTTTTTTAAACCAAGATGAAAACGAGCACTTAAAACCCTCTGCTAGTAAGCAGTAGATATATGCAAAAAGAAAAAAAAAACAACTCTTTAAACTTACCTGTGTCTTCACCGCGCGCTCCCGTCTGAAAATCTGAAAATTCTCGGGTGGCCGCAAAGCATCTTGGGGTGGGCGCATGAGCAGTTCAGATTTCCGGCCGGGAGACGAGGAGAGACACAAGGTAAGTCTATGGACGCGTGCACCCGCATGCAGACACCGTGGGACAGGAAGTGCCAGCAAGGACAGAGGAGTCAGCGCTGGATCGGAGACCCGCCGCAGCGCTGGAAAGAAGGCTGAAGACGACAGGAAAGAAGAAGAATTAAGAGACATAATTTAAGGTAAGTGCTTTATTTAACATTGGGGGAGGGAAAAATGTTTTGCTTTTAAGGTCACTTTAACCCTTGCAGTGCGGGGGTAGTTAATAAAAATTCTGCCCGGAGTCCTTCCTTAAAGTCTGATGACACTTGAGGCGACAGGGGTTTCCACACTTTCATGAAAGTTACATAAAATGCCTAAGAAATGAATAAGGATGACAAAAACAAAACAAAGTTGTGTGTTGTCTAATTGTTTGAAGTTCTTTCCTATGTTATTAAACACACAACAAAAGAAAGTTCAGTTTATCTGTCCATGTAAGAAGCAGGCAGCAGCTTTGACATTGCTTGGAAATGTCTAAAACGCAGAATACTCATCTCTGTGGGTTATCTCTGGAATTTCTAGGGTTATAGCCACGATTATGAGACACACCAGCTGTTCTCTAACAGGGGATCTTATCTGTTACCATGGACTGTGTGAGAAACGGATGAGCTTTCCAGGAAGAAGACTCAAATAAATGTAGCATTTGGATATTGCAGCAACAATGTCACATATGATAAACTAGTGGAACTGGCTTAATCTCTCTGTCTCATCTATGTAAATCTAAGCTGTCTAAACTGTTTAATTTAGGATTTCTCCTGCAGTGACTGCAAGCAGTTCCCCTATAGCACTATACACATGTGTGCTAGGAGTAGATAGGAGGTTAGTAGAGTTTGGATACACAGAGGCTTAGTCTCACCTCCTCATGCAGCAGGAAGGGGAGCAAGTTCCTCTGACACATCCAAGGGAGGAAGAGCGGAGAGCAGGGGGGAAAGTGCAGGCAGCCCTGGCTTGCTGGAGCTCAGACATCCATCAGAAGTTTTGTAAAGTCTCCTGTGCCTTCCTTCCATCTGCCTGGCATCAAGCAGTAAATGTGTTCAGCCTGCTGGATGCAGAAAGCCCAGCCCTTCTCAGATGTAAAGGAGTTCGGCTTCTGCATTGCCAGAGGGGACAACTGCACTGAGAGAGACATCTCCCCCCTCCACCCCATTCCAGGTTATTGGGTGGCAGACAAGCCTCAGGATGGACTCTGGAACACAGGACAGCCTGCCTATGTGTGACTGCCAAAAACAGCCAGATGCTCTGACTCTGAGTTCCTTTCTTTCACTGTGCAGCTGGGAACTATAGCAAGGACAAGCAACTTTCTTCCCTTCTAAAAGGATTGCTGCAGATTTTCTGGGTGCTGGAAATAAAACTGCACCCCAACATTTCACAGAAACACCAGAGGATTGCTAAGCATATTCCTCCAGCTGGAGAGTGACTCACCCTTAACTTAAGACAAGCTCTGAGTGGGGGTGGGGGTGCGGTGACACTGGAGGTCTTCCTAGCCAAATGGTCACTTCACTGACCCCAACACAGCACATGGCTATTCGGCTATGCTGGACTGACCCCTGATGGAGCCTTGAATGGGACAGGCTGGCTCTGTGAAAATGCTGGGGCTGGGGGCTCTTGCTGCCCTTTCTATGGTGAGCATCATGACCTATGGCTACCTGTCCTTGGACAAAGGAGACCTAGGTGTGGAAGGAGAGGAGAGACAACACAAGGGAGAGGGGCGAGAAGTGGGGCATCAGCCTCATATTATCTTCATCCTGGCTGATGATCAGGGATACAGGGATATTGGGTACCACGGATCGGAGATCAGAACTCCAACACTGGATATATTAGCAGCAGAGGGAGTGAAGCTGGAGAACTACTACGTACAGCCCATTTGTTCACCCTCCAGGAGTCAGTTCATTACTGGGAAGTAAGTACCGCATGAGAGTTCAGCTGTCCACATCACCATTGACATTGAGAACTTTGCATCCTACATCACCATAACAATCCCCACTGAGCAGAGCAGCCTGTGTCTGTCTGAAATCACTGGCGCTGCTATTA